TAGGAATCTGAAAGCTCTAGGAAAATTGAAGATATCATTAAATAATGTAAACTCTAATTAGGCAATTAAACATTTCATTCAAACACAACCAACAACAGACTTATCATATGCTATGTTTATTCAACAATTAAAAATTCACAATTAAAACTCCAATATGCAATTTGACAACAAAAAAGCATTGATATTCTCTTCAGCTGGTTTTAATTTACAACCTTTTTAACAGACACATAGTACTACTAAAAATCTACTATTTTTTATCATCTCCCTTTTTAAATTATTATATAAAACATATCTACAACCCTAAGATTAGCACAGATATAAATGATAGTTTATATCTATAGATTAAAGTTTCAAATTACGCAGTTAATTAAGTTTTTTAATAACATTGGAAATTCTAAATTATTGTTTTATTTTATACATTGTTATTAATGTTTTAGAACATACGCTGCTACACGAAATGTTTTAGTACATACATTGCTTTTTACTCAATGATTGCAACATTGTGTAAAGGTGTGCGAAGGTGGTGTGCTTTTATAATTGTTTTATAAAGTCTTAAAAATCTCTGTAATGGTTGATTTAAATGTTGAAGATTTGTCCTTTTGTAAAACAGCACAGATAGTACATTGTCATCAATCAACAATTGTGTGTTTGTTACAAAAGTGGCACAAACATTGAAAGAAATGCTGGATGAGGAGATAAACATGTGAGTATGTGTGCAGGATAGGTTGATAAAGAGTCTCATCTTATGATAATGTTTTGTTAGTTCTTTCGAACTTAAAGTGGAAAGAGCTGACAGGCATAAAAGCAAATATACCAACTGTACAATGTCTTGGATTCAAAAGTCAGCTGTCCACTTAAGAAGCTATTACCAAAGAGTAAAGTGCACTGCACAGACAGCAAATTATATGGACTAAACAGAATTTGGATTAGAATATTAAAATTTGAAATTCTGTTAAAATACTGTTCTATTACAGGATGTCCAAGAAAAATCTTCAGTATTATATTATTATACAAATTCAAAACACAATAATAAAAAAAAATATTACATATATGTTAGTAGTATATATGTTACCGGCCAAACCTGATTTCAGGCCAAAATAGTTTATCCTACCCATGTCAGGATATACCAGTTTAGTCTAGGATAATCTAGTTTGGCCTAAATACTTTAGGCTTAACTAGTTTGACCTAGGCCGAACTGATTTATGTACTACAAATAGATGCCAGTGTAAAAAAAAATGATTTTGTGTAATTTGAATTGCCACCACAGTACACCCAGTGGTTAAAGTGTACCTAAGTAACCCCAATGGCAATGCTTTGGTTAGGTTGGTTTGGTTAGGTTAACTACATTTTTAGTAGACGTTTCCTTTTTTTCTTTTGTTCAAGAACTACCGTGAATCAATAACTAGTGACGTTAAACAATGGGCGGCCTAAACAGTCTGAAGTGCCGCCATTGGGGCTACCTAGATACACTTTAACCCACCCTGTAAAAATAAATAAAAGATTAAATATTTTATATGTTACACTAAGAAACACAAGCAAGTTCTTTTTTTAATTTTAGTTTGACTTTAAAAGTTTTTATTATTTCGTTTGAATTTTTAAAAATATTTTCGAAAGTTAATTACCTTTAAAAGTGCATGGTTTAATAATAAAAAAAAAAAATACAAATTGATAAGTACTGACTAGCTTATTTTTATTTTATAGTTTTGTACAAGTGTTGTGTCATTTCTAATCAGTACCGTTTTTTATAATTAAGTAGACTATGTTTGAATAGATATTGTTCATCTAATTGATTGCCTTTTAATTTTATTTTAACCATTAATATACTTAAATCAGGCCTGGCCAACCCGTGGCCCGTCACATTAAATTGTGTGGCCCGCTAAACAATATTACATATCTATTAAAACTTTCTTTTTCTGTTTTGTGTATACTGAAACAATTAAATAAATGACAATTTGCATGTGTCATTGTTGTAATGTGCAAGTGCAAGTACGAACTCTTGGTATAACAACGAAATCTTATTCATTTTGTATTTGTTTTACTTTTTTAAAAGCATGTTTGCCTAAATTGTGGCCCATTGTAATGTTACACGTGATCAAAGTGGCCCGTGAAACAATTTGGGTTGGCCAGGCCTGACTTAAATAATAATTCTAAATCAGTTCGGCCTAGGACAAACTAGTTAAGCTTAACGTATTTAGGCCAAACTAGATTGTCCTAGGCTAAACTAGTATATCCTGACATGCGTAGGATAAACTTGTTTGGCCTGAAATTGGGTTTGGCCGGTAACATATACATTAAAAAAAATAATTATATCCAGTAGATTCTCCCATATCTGAACTAATGTGGATGGGAGTGATCTAGAAGATATAAAAATCTGTATAAGAGAGTGTGATAATTTTTAAATATATGCCTACTATATGTATAAAAATTGTTTTTGACTTTGACACTTATTTTTGACAATTACAATTAATTTTGAAAGTATTGTGTTGAAGTTGTTTGTTTAGTTCTTGATTTGCTGACAAGCTGCTGTATCACATCAATATTTCATTATTATCAAGTCAGCAGTGGTTGGTGCATTGTGCTCTTCTATAAACTTCAAAGCAACCTTAAAAACATTTTAAAATGTTCACATTGCAGTATGGAAATATATATATATAAAATATAAATAATATATTTGAAAATATTATACACTGCTCCGAATTTCTCAATTCGGAGCAGTGTATAATATTTTCAAAAATTTTTGGTTGCCTTTGATCAGTCCAGATAAGGTAGAGTCTATTGTAAATATACAGGAGCAGCTGTAAGGGTCTAGAAGAGCCAAGTTTGGCCATTACTGACCTATAATACTGCTTGATGGAAACAAAAAAGTTTCTGGAGAGTCAAATGATACAGAGCTAAATATTTAGTAGCAACGTCAACAGGCTAAACTTTATAAATGGGTTTGTGAATGCAGAGTGCTACAGAAATATTTTATCTGCCAAGTTAATTCCAATAATCAAGAAACACATTCATAATACAAAATTCTACATCTTCCAGAACAACTGTGTGTCATTTCCCCATACCAAGATGGAAAGTGAAGTATAACATTTCTTTCTCTATGGTTTGTTAGCATTGTTGTCATCTAAATCAACAAACTACTGTTTAAGTAAAGTGTTCTTACAAGAGGCCCAGAAATGCCTAACCTCTTTAATAAGAGTTCTATAAAAGCTATTCTGGGAATATTTCATGGCAATACAGTACAAAGTTTCTGGTGTCAGTAAGTAGCAAAAAGTCTTAAGGATTTTTTTTTCATTGCATATGGCCAATAACTATACAATTTTGCAGTTTCATAAAACAAAGCACATTTTAAATTAAATAATTGGCATTTGTAATTTCTAGACATTGGCAATAGAAAGGCTATAAAAAAACAAATTCATCAGTAAGTATAATGTTACTCAATTTACTCTTTATGTCATAGAATTTTTAAATAAAAACTTCCTTTAGTGGCCAATATTTGTACCGTTTACTCATTATCATTTAGTAAAGTTTTTTACAAATTGCTTTTCTTATCATTTATGACAATTATACAAGATGAAAATGCATTCACTACCACAGATATCATGTATTATACATAAAGTTAATTTTTAAACAAGAAAACTTGAAGTTTTTTAAATGTTTAAAACAAAACAGAAAATATTTACATTCCAAACTTAAAAACTTATTTCAATGCTGTAAATTTCATGAACTAAAATTCAAATACATTTTCCATATATAAATAACATCTAATACTTTTATAGATTAGATCATAATCGTAATATTAGTTTAACAAACAATGTACTATTGTGATTTACATTTACATGTAAGTATTCATCTTATTTATGCATATTACATACTATATTAAAGTGAACAATTACAAAAACAATTTCTAAAAATATTTAATGCATAAAACCACATCCCTCTAATTATTATATAGAATAACTCAATAGAATTTTTTCCAGATCTTAAGAAAATTCATATATACCCTGCACAAACTGAAATTATTATAAGTTCATGTAACAAGTAATGATCAATTTTAGTGGTCATTATCTGTGTTTGACCTTTCAAATCTTTCTGCAATATAATTTTTAGTACAAAGAATTTATTTTCATAAGGCTCCATCAACAAGATTATATCTGGAGACTGAGTCAGCTAATATATTGTTATATTAACCAACTATTCAAGATTTCTATCAATGTAAATGGATTTAATTCAGGTAGAGAATACATTAAAAAAAATATATCTATAGAATTATGATGAGAATGCACAATCTTATTTATCATTATTTTAGAATGGTAACAGTTCACATCATTTATAGACTTCATTAAAGTAATTTTAAATCATGATATGTACAATTTGGAATTGGTATTTTAAAAAACAGTAAAAATGGTCATTTCAAATTGTACATACCAATGATTTAAAATCACTGTAATTAAGTTTATAAATGATATGGACCATCACAAAGATCCTGCCAAATTTGAATAAATTTAAATGTATCTTTAATGGCAAATAAACCATTAAATTGTAACTTTATATTATCTTCAATATAATTTTAACTTTTTATTTAATCTTCGATCTGTAACTTTCATTTCTTTTATTATTATTACTTTTTTCTTAAATGTTTTCAAATTTTATATTGATTGAAAATCTAAACACTTCAATTTAAAGAAAACTGTTAATAAAATCTCAACCTTTTTCATTTTTTAATTACTGTATTTCATTACAGTATTTGAAATAATACATTTAAAAAAAATGCATCAATCTCTAATGTATAAAATAAAAAATTTATATGAGAAATTTATGATTTTTTTTATACACAACTTATTTTATTTTTTNTAACACTTACCCGATCACTTGATTCATAATACCAGACGTAACGTTCGAGTTATTCGACTTTATATTTTGTTTTGGTGTCTACACGTTTTGAAAAATTAAAACCGATCGGATTGTTATTAGGAATGGCAATATTTGAATGCATTACTCCCTACCTGTGTTAAGGAATCGCCAAATAATATAATCTTGGGCCATTTTAATTGGTAGGAATCCATACTATACTATTTTTTTGGTAAAAATTTCGTTTTAAATTATCCTATTTTTCCTAAATAGATAAATGAAATATTTTCAGCATTTTTTGAGAATCTCTTTGGTCCACATGGCCAGCGATCGAGGCGACACGAGCATACAATTTTATTTTTAAAATTTAAAATTAATTAATTTTATTTCATATTAAATTTTAATGTAAGATAAATACTGCTCATTAAATGATAATATTAAATTAAAGTATATTAAAAATTAAATTATGAATAGGTTAATATATTTTAAATAAACGTTTACGAGTCCTTCAATGAAATGACCGCATATCCGCTCGGACATCCGGCCGAGTGGTCAAGGCGCTTTGAAGGACCCGGGTTCGAGTCCGGATTGGTCACTAAATCTCCAGGAATTTTTCGGGGGTGGTCCGTCTGGATATGTCGGGCTCCGTCCCTCACCCCATTGTGGGACTGGCCTATAATGGGCATGCTGAAAGAGTTTTAAAAAAACCTCATACCAGACCAGTCCAACACGTCGTGATGAAAAACTCAGGATTTGGACTCGATCTCCATTCCTCCAGAGATGCAAGCGCTGAAATTTTAACTTTTTCGGCTATCTGTAGTTTTTTTAAAACAATATATAACACACTCTTGCTAATCCGTCGTATCCCTCGCCTATGCGCTTTCATTTCTATAAAATTGTTATTCATATTAATCATGCTATTTTCTTGTTTACTCGGATCTCATTTCTGTATACAGTATTGTATGTTAGCATTTCAGTATTATTTGTCCACCTGCCTATAAAAATAATAAGTACCGATAGGCGATAGGTCACGTCATTCGTCGGCGTTAGGCAGACATAATTCCTATGCACTCTTTGGTAATCCGGCATTCTGCGCAAATATTAGCCGGATTAGCAAGACTTTAGTGCAAAAGAAAAGCTTGAAAGAGAATTTGTAACTATGTAAGAGGAAAAATTGAAATACAGTATATAGTTATATTAAAACGTAGTGTGTTGATGTTAATTTGACACCTAGCCTACATTATTTAATATAAAACTTCATGAAAACTTTCTAGAGGCTTTCATCATTTCCAGTTCGATTTCTGATCCTCCAGAGCGGCAGAATAACGCATCTCTCATCATATTTGGGTACTTAAAGTAACAGAAAAAGTGTGCTGCAAAGTTTAGCTCTTGTAAAAAAAAAGTCCAGTATTGAGTTGTTTAACTTTCCCGGCAACATTTAAAATTGCATGGGGCACCATCAGTTAAAAATATAAAAAGTTTTTAATATCATAACTATTACGAAATGGTAACAACCTTATTTTTGGGGGGTAGGGATTGGTTTTAGTTAAAAATTGTAAATGCTAATAACGAGTAAAATTGTCATTAAGTCCGAACCTACTGGAGATACACACAACGCCCATTATCTCCCTACCCCCTCGACTTTTAATTGCCAAAATTTAACAGCATCCTTAATTAATACACAAAAATCTACCTGCAAAATTTCAAACATTATCGACAAAAAGCACAGGAGTTATTAAGCTTCAAAGAGGGTGAACATAATCGTGCCCTACAAACACTAACATCCATAATACAGAAAACCTTGAGTTTTTTGCATTTCTCGACGTTTCAAGGTCCCAAGTCCAAAAATGTAAAAATCTTGAGGAGTCATTTTTTGAACGATCGCCATACTTTCCCTCTGTTATATATAACAGAATCAGGAAAGTAAAATTGATCGGACTTTGAACGATTTAGAATTCGAACGGCCACTTAGAATGAATTAAATTCGAAGTACGAGGTACCACTATACCTTGTGTTATCTTTTTCTTTGTATTTTTGATTTTTCAAATAATTTTTGTTCAAAAATTTATGGACCCTACTGTATTTAAGTACTGAATTACAAAGTTAAGTTTCTTATGGCATGTCTACATGAGACACTCATCATTTAAAAGTCAAAGTTATATTGGAGTTGGTATTGATTTCACAGCAGCAATTTTTTTTTTTTATGAATCATTGAGTTATTTTTTAAATCCCCAAGATATATATTTTATTCAATAATAAAACATGAAGCGTGCAATGCAATGCCTTAAAGTGCCAGAGTGCAAGACCTCTGACTTTCGGCGCCTAAAACGTTACGTCTTATAAAAACGTTTATAAAAAAATAATACATTGATCAATATTTGAAAAATATGAATAGGTTAAAATAAACTAATTAGAATATATTTCAAGATATCTTTGTGTATTATTAAAATACTTTATACGGATTTTACGAAATAATTATTAGAAAATAACAATAAATGGATTTGGGTAAATCTTATTAGATATCACAAAATGGCAAAGCCAAAAAGTAAAGTCAAGAAGAACCCAAATTAAATTGGTTATCTATACTAATATTATAAAGAGGTAATGTATGTATGTATGTATGTATGTATGTAAGTTTGTTTGCAGCAGGTAATCTCCGAAACTACTCATTTGATTTCAAAAATTCTTTCACCAATATTTAGAATGGAACCTCAGGGTGGACATAGGCTGTATATTATTCCGTTAAACATTCATATAAATTAAAATATTTAATCTAGGTTAAGGCTTTTATGTCCAACAGATGGCGCTACGAGTACGACGCCCTAAGTTTGCTTTTCTGTGAGGCATTATGCTTTTCTGTGAAAATGAACTAAAGCAGATCATCTTCTATCTATCTATATAAATAAAAATGTAATGTTCGTTTGTTCCTACCGATTCCTTTGAAATGTTGACACAACGCTGCATTCGAATACGCACGTGTTTTTATATAATATACGTGTCGAAATTCAACCCCACTGAAGGGAGATGGTTAGGTTTAAGGCTTACGGTAAAGAACTCTGCTTCTATTTATACTATTTTAGATGCGGGTTTTTGCGTTTTTCATAGGGTACGTCACAGAATGTATACTAAAAAGGGATTTTTCAATATTCCCCCGCGGGGGACGACAGAATTAAGGCTTACCGCGAAGAACTTGGCTTCTATTATATTATTTTAGATGCGGGTTTTTGCGTTTTAATAGGGTACGTCAACAGAATGTACACTAAAAATAAATTTTTCGAAAATTTTTCCCCCACGGGGGAAGTGTTATACATTTACAATAGATACATTTTGAGCCACAACAACGCGTGGCGGGGTCTGCTAGTCCGGTAATAATCAGAATTACATAAAGAAGAAGACTTTTCTCTGCTGGCTAGTGAGTTCCAAACCTGCCAACAGATTGCCTGGTATTGGAAAACTCTACGGAGCACATCTTAATAGAAAGAGGCTATGGATTCTCCCACAGAACCATCACGAAATTTTTGAAGCTGAGATATAACGAAGATAAATTTGTGACTTGGCTTCATTGCAAAACCGGAGCTTCTAGATATCATGCATATCAATGCTATGACAGCATACTGAAATGTTGTCAAGAACATAACCTCTTGTAAACGAATTGCCATTTAAGAGAAGAGAGTGACATTGAGATTTACTCATCAGTTACAGATAAATAGAATAAACCAACGATTTTTAAAATTTTAATTCAAATTATTGTGATTCCACTATAAAGTTAATGAATTACTATATTTAAATTCTAAGTTTTCTGTATTTTATTGTTTTAATATTTTAAAAGTATTTGCTTTATTGTTGTTCACTTTTCGATAAATTACCTACGTTTTCAATTTGGCATTTAATAAATTGAAATATATTCAATACTGTAAATATAAATGTCCGCATTTGATTTTGAAAGTAACTGGAATATTTTTCGTGTAACAAAATTAAGTATGTAGGAATAGTAATAGAGAGGACAATAATATTGATATTTTAGCGTTTATTTTCTTAATGGTTTGGAATTTGACTTATCTAACCTCCACATTCGGTCATACTGACAGCTGACATCGTCCCCGATGTCTTCATCTGACCGGTAGAAAACTTCGTTAGTTGAACTGACCTGCACTTTCATATTGTCCGCAGAAGTAGATATCTGAATTGACCCTTCATCTTTTCAACTAAATATCTATCGTTACAGGCGCATTCCATGTGTTGATTATGGACGAGTAAATGCCTGAGCAGAGGATTTGTATGCTCTTCTCTTTGATTAGTAGTCATAGTGTTATTCATTTCTGTTACCGATTCAGGAACTAGAGCTAGGCAGAGTGGATTGAACGTTCAGGTTTACCTTCGGAGTTTACTCGTAAATCGCTGTCAGTGTGAATTTTTGTAATTTTTCCAATTTTCCTTAACGATGTTTTCATGATATCGATCCATTCCCCGTGTCTTCTCTGAAACTCTTTAACTTTATTTGAATCGCCTATGATTCTGATCATGTCACTCGCAGAAAACAGCTTTATATTATTAGCATCATCTTGGTTAAAACACCAGATCCAGCGATAATCACATCCTTCGTACTGAACTCCTGTGTCGCCTTTATCTGTAACCCTATGTACAGTTCCTACTTTTCCAATATATTTGGCCATTCTAAGGTTCCACCTTCCGTGACCTTCTTGCTTTTCGACATTGAATAACACTTTGACTTTATCTCCAACGTTAAACTGATGTTTCATGGCCAAAGGATTTACCGAATAAGCTTCGACTTTTTGACCTTTATGGCCTAACCTGTACACGTTAGTGGATCCCGAAGTCCAAGTTATGTTTGCGACACTCCTCCCGGATTCGTTATTCCAACCTCTAATATCTATGACTTTTTCTGTGTTTCCTTCTCCACCGTCTTGATTTCCCCAATCCCAATCGGGTCCTCGCATAACTTTACCGCCGACAAAAATTTCCAGCGCCTGAATTTTAAGCGTTCCTTGATGTTTTGGCATTCGCCTTGAGGCGTTTTGGTTCTGTAGCTTCAGTTCTACTTGGTTCTGTCTCTGGTCTAGAGGAGGACTTGCAACAGAATACGTCTTTTCAGGAATATTTTCTTACCTAAGAATTCCTTCTTCCGATTTTTCTGGAGATTGCTTTTCATATTTGTTTCAGTATATCCCTTCTGATTCCTTCATCATCTGTAGGTTGTTGATGCTTCGTATAACCATTCTTCCATCTCTTTATTAACTTCAGCCTTCTCATTAGCAGATAGCCGCCCCCTAAATACCATTACGCTATGCCACTACGCTACGCCACTGCG